CATCAAGGCGTTCTACATGAAGGTCAACGAGGACGGCAGGACCGTGGCCGCCATGGACGTGCTGGTGCCCAAGGTCGGGGAGCTCATAGGCGGCAGCCAGAGGGAGGACAGGTGCGCACAACACCTGAGGCCGCCGCCGCTGCCACTTCTGTGTGCGCGCCGGCCCGCGGCCCGCGCGGCACGGAGCCAGGGAGCCAGGGAGCGACCCGTATGGGCTTGCAAGAGCCCGGAGGGGAGGCTGCGCATCGCAGCTCGCTCTGCCCTTTCATGCGCTCAAGCCTCGCTTCCCCCAACGCCCAGCATGCGCTGCCCGCCGGTCGGCAGGCCCCCAAACCTGTTCTTCCCAGTGCCGGCCCTCAACACCCTTCATTCCACGCCTGCCTTGGCCGGCTCCCCCCCTCCCCACACCCACCGGGCACAACCCCAATGAACCACCGCCCGCAACTCCTCTGTCCATATAAACCAACTCCCCTGCTCACACCCACAACTCTGTCCGCGCACATCACTTGACTCCTCTGTCCATCTCAAATACACCCTCAACCAAGGTATGATGTCCTCGTGGAGCGAATCCAGGAGACCGGCATGCCGGTGGAGGCCTACGAGGCCTACCTCGACCTCCGAAAGTATGGCACTGTCCCCCACTCCGGCTTTGGCCTCGGCTTCGAGCGGCTCATCCTGTTTTCTACCGGCCTGGAGAACATTCGTGACGTCATCCCCTTCCCGCGCGTGCCCGGCAGCGCGGCGTTCTGAGGGGCGCGGGGGGATGCAGGAGGGCGGCGCGTCGCAGGGCCGCTGCGGGGGGCGGTCGCGTCCGGGGGGTTGGCCCGGCTGCGGCTGCGGTTTGGTCTGGGGGGTCGCTGCCCCTGCGGCGCCAGTCCCGCGCTTGCGGACGTGTTCTTGGGTGTGACAGCGTGGATTCATGAGTCTGCCATTGTAACAGTCATTGAATTAAGCCATTGCTGACCCGTTGCTTTCCACATGTCAGCTATATTGCTGGCGGTTTTGGATTTCGCCACCCAAAACCGGCATTTCAGCCCCAAAACCCCGGGCAGCGCGGAGCTCATCAGCAGTCGCCCCAGCAAATGTCAGCTTGCAGACTGCAGCACGAGGCCGTTTTATTGAGCTCGCTGCATCATGTTTTGCCGTCACTGCTTGCAGAGCGCTGGGGTTCCATCAGGAGCGCCGCCTACATCAGTGTGACATCAGCGGAAACCACTGAACCACCCCATCAACACGCTGAGCGTCAGGTACGCACCTGTTATACGCATTGACGCCAAATTCTATCTTGCTGTCCCATCTGATGCTTGCACAGACCCCAACTTGAAAACTGGGCCCGCGGGTGGCCGTTGCTGACCGGGTGGCTCCCGGTCTTGTTCTCAGGTCGCGATTGCTGAATATACACTGGTTTACAAGGCTAATTGAATGGTGGCCGCGCCAGAGCCTGAGGCTCGCGCTGCGGCGTCGCCGCCAGCAGGTGCAGTCAGCGCTGATCCATGAAGTCAGCCCGCATGAAGAGCAACCGCTGCACTGCATTCCCTGACCTTGCCACCCGTCTGTCATGCCGCAGGCAACGGACACCCCAAGGGATCCAATGACCGCGCCCTCGCACCGGCGCTCATGGGAACCGACGCTGCCGGCGCCGCCAACTCAGCAGACACAACAGCTGCGCCCGACCAAGACCGCACAACACTGGCCCCCGACAGGCGCCCCACCCGCCCGCAGCGAGGGGGGGCCCCCACCAACGCCCAAAAGGTGGGTGCTGGCGCTGCATGGGTGTGCCGCTGTGCCCCTTCATTGCTGCTTCGCGCTGTCGTGCAGGACAGCGGGCCACAGCAAGGCCACCACCGACCCAGCTGAGAGTGGCCTTGCTCATGCTCCGGCGCCCCTGAGCTGACGCGAACCAGGAGAGTAATCGCCTCTGCCCACCACTGCTTTAATGCGATCTGCCGTCTCACAGCCCGTCCCATTTATCTCTTGCCCGCACCACACATCCCAAACAGCTGGCGGCAGGCATCCTGGCAATAGCCCAGGTGCGCCTGCGCGCCTGTCTGCTCCCTTCCCCTGGAAGAGTGTTGTGTGCAATAGCAAGATTGACTAGCGCCTTTTGACATGCTTCTCAGCCGGCATCGTCCATCTTCCCACGACGGCCACCGCGGCCCCAGCCTCCTGTACTGCAACGTGCACAGTGCCGCCTCACACCCTCAGCCCTTCCGGATCAGCTCCCCTCCGCAGCTGGCACAGCCCCACTCACGTACCCTCGAAGGGCCCCCC